TCTTGGTTTCTTGGATGGGCCAAGAGACTATATGTTCTCTTGGCCCATCCCCCGGAGTGGGTATGAGCCATGGATTTTAGGCTACAAACAAACAAACGAACAAACAAAGTGCGGCTGACACCTTCCCTGAGTGGGTAGGTGCCAGTGTTCCAAGGAGCATCATCATCATTTGCCTTGTTCGCGAAAATGAAATGTTTTTGGTGGCGTATGTATTTAGTTCCTCACGATGTGACTTAAGCATCGACTGTATATCGCGGGGGGGGATGATTGAGCATCTGTTCGTATTTAAGTTGACTTACGTATTAATTGATTCGAAGGGCGTGGGTTACGGCGCATCAGCGCGCTCGATTTTCGCTGCGCGATGTAAGAACGCTCTAATAGTAGCTAGTAATCAAATACTGATTGCGAGGGCCGAGCCTGACACGAGCGTAATAAGACGGATGAGCGGCGACTAGCGCAGCGCTGGACATTACATCGTGGACAGATGCGTCGCAAGTGCACGCATGACCTGCGGTTGTGCCGTGGACCCGTTCGGGACGCCCCGAGCGGCTCCATCCCGACTCGCTGCCGTGTTCATGACCGCGGCGGGGTGCGCCCCGCTACTTCCGCCAAGGGGGTCGGCGTGGCCGCCATTTCGCTTCTTTGTAGCCTCCCACGAGGGGAGGCCCTCTCTGCCGCCCCTTTATACAAGTTGCGCCATGGCGCTGGTGGCCTCGGGCAGGTGAGGCCTCCGCGGATAAGGGCGCTGTGTAGTTCGCTTATAATAAGATGGGTGGACGGAGAGAATGTTTTATCAAGCTCGTCGCTTGTACGTCACTTCAGCGCCTGCTTTCGGTGGGTTTTAAAGTGCATATGTGTTACTTGGTATTCAACCAGTGTTTTTACCATTTACATAAAACTTAATAATACTAGATATCTTTTGCGGCTTGCTGCACTATCTTGTATGCTCGAACAAAAATTCTATTGTGTAATGAAAATATGTACGTATGTGACATATCTTGCTATATAGTAGTTCTTTTTTCATTGGGCCCGCAACTAGCTTTTTGCCCATGAAGCCAACTAGTTTTAGCTGTTTCTGAAAAAAAAAAATATTTAAATTTGTTTCAGAATTCATGGTTCGTGTCAAGTAATCGCTCAGGCCGAAATAACATCTATCTATCTATCTATCTATCTATCTATCTATCTATCTATCTATCTATCTATCTATCTATCTATCTATCTATCTATCTATCTATCTATCTATCTATCTATCTATCTATCTTCTGTCTATCTATAACATCTATCTATCTATCTATCTATCTATCTATCTATCTATCTATCTATCTATCTATCTATCTATCTAAAGTAATTTATAATTCACCTTGGTGGGCAAGTTGCTTGGTGATTCAGTGCTTTAATCAATCTATTTGACTCAACTGGTGGTATCTCCCGCGTTGTTACGTGTATATAACCTTGCAGTCAACGGAAAGCATTGAGGAGGTGAAATGGCGGCACGACGTCTGGTTCGGCGCGACTTGCCTGAACTGCGGTTCGTTTTTGTTGCGGCTCGCCGAACTCCTCCAGCAGCGCAATTGGGTCAATGAAACGTTTAGCCCGGCTTTTGTGTACGACATTCCGCCGCCCGGAACGCGCCCGCCGGTCCGCCCGTGCATTCGGCATTGCCTTTCTCATCCCCATCCCCCTTCTCTCTCTCTTTCAACCGACGTGGCTTCACGCCTTTGTCCCAGTTGCAGTCCGTTGTCCCCAGAAAATGTGCGCGTGTTTGTTACAGCCACCTCTGCCCGTACTCGCTGACCGTAACCCATCTTCGCTGAACGTTGCGTAACTCCGGCTGTACTGAAATTCGCTTGCTGCACATAATAAGCGCTGAAGCGAGCTCGGATTAGAAAAAAAAAGGCAGATCACTTCGCCAGCTGTAACCTTTTTTTTGTTGTCAGCAGCCATTTGGTCAGCGTCAGAAAGATTTGCTTGCAAACGCTGTTATGTATGTCGTTGTATCCTGCAACCAGTTGGGCTTACCAACCTGGCAACCAAAAGAGAATGATCAAATGAGATAACGTTAGTAGCCTGCGTTGCCCGGAGAAAAGGAGCCAAACAAGTTTAATATTGTGTGGACGCCTTTTAATCCTTAATCCAGAGGAAGTTGCCCTACGTGCTACTTTCTCTGCGGAGCAGGCGGAAGAATCGGAGCGCGAGCATGGCGACAAAACGTTCTTGCAGAGCAGACGGCGGCTGGAAAAACGTTGCGTCCCGTGGGTGTGTAGAGAGAGAGAGAGCTCAACCTGCCGCTTCTTCCAGCGTCGCCGGTTCGGTATTTTATTGAGTGCATCACCCCGCGAGGAAGAAGAAAGGAAAGCGTTCGCGGCGGCTGTTGTTGCGCTAGCTGAGCGAGAGGGCGCGAAGACAGCGGCGGAGGGCGCCGTGAAGTGAGACGAGCGAGGCCGTGGACAGACGTGGCTGCCTCGCCCGTACTGAGAGCGACGACGAATATGGCGCTGTGCGGCTGCTGCAGCGGCGGCAGGCGTCCGGCTGCCGAGAAACAAACGAACACCCATGCCGTGGAGGCCGATCCTTCCAGCGTTCCCTGCGCCTTGGAGAGCGTGGGTTTGAATGCGACTCGTTTTCGTTCGCTATGAAACTATGACTAGAGTATAAATGTTTTCGAGCCCGTGGCTTAACGGTGCTTGTCGCGCGCCCTCTCGCTTTCAGTTTTCGATCACCAGTGTGTGCGCGAACATTCGCGCGCATTTGAGACTGTTTTTTTTTTTAGTTTTGAACTTAAATTTATTTTACCAGTGGGTTGCATGGATGACCAGTCAATAAAAGCTGTAATTCGCAGCTTGAGGCGAACGTTGTGCACGTTGGCGGCTGTTTCCTCTTTAATTCAACTTCATATTTCAATCTTTTGCGAGGTTGATGAGGCAATAAAAGCTTCAATTAGGCAGCTTGAGCTGAACCTGCACAATTCGTACACAGAGTAGCTTCATAGCCTGCAAATAAAACCGTATAGCAGCTGTGTCAAGCATATAGCCCCTCTCTAGTGCTACTGGTTCTTTTACATTTCAACCAAAGGTGCATGGAGGGGGGCAGAAAAGACAGCGATGGCGGCCCGAGGAATCGAAGCGCGGAGGCGCCTTGCGCGCAAATCCGGGAGGCCTCACACCCCCCTACCACCACTTCCGACGACTGCAGAAGCAGCAGCACGGCGAGCGTGCCGTGCGCTGCGTTTGGCAGCGCGGGGAGGGATCGGCTGGCCTTACTGATCGAGGCATGGCGAACGCCAGCCAAGCCGGCGCCATTGCGCCGGCCCTTAAGTATTATTTTTTTTTTTTGCATGCACGCGCTATTATTGTTCTGGTCCAAGCGGTTGCCGCTTGGTTACGCCATTTGCAATGCGTTACGATCTCGTCACCTAATCTCCACTATTCTGGAATAACTTGATGTAACTTTGTTTTATAACTCCAAGCGTTGTACTGCCCGAAAACTGCTGCAGGCAACTGCGTTGCAGCGTACAGCCTTCCGAGTCCGGGAGGACGGCAAAAAGTGGGAGAGAAAGATAACGGTGATGTCTTTTTTGTTCCGCTTATCGTCGAGGCGGGGAAGCCACGATGCGCGACACTTGAGCGTCCATTTGCATTTCCTCGAGTTCGCTGCTGCAACCGTTCACGCCCTGACGTACGCCGTGGCAGCGCGCTCTCGTTGTCGTATGAGTTGTAATTTTTCCACGTTCCCCAAACAGCCATCGCATGGAAGTGCATGCAGCCTGTGAATTTTACAACAGTACGTGGCTATACAATGGATGTCATCTATCGACCTGTAAAAGCTTTACGGACTTTTACGATGATTTACTATTCTGGTTATCACGGCGGCTGCCTTCTTTTTTGTAGTGCAGTAGCACGCTGCTGAGGTGTTCAGTTTTGTGCAACTTTTCTGCTTTACGACGAGCCTGTGAAAACTTGCGGCTATGACAACGCTGTGACGATTCACTTGTCACCAAGCCTATGTCGGGCGTCGCCATACTCAACGCGCGCGCTTTTGATTGCTGATCTATCTGTTCTTGTAGTATGTTTTTTGAAGAAACCCGTCTCGCCTTGGTGCTTGAACGGTTGGACTTTTCAGGCTACAGGATAAGCGTGGGTCACGCCGAGAAGGGAAGTGAGCGCACAGCCCAGATCCCCTCCCTGAGAGTCATCGAGTGCGGTTTGTGCAAGCTGCGACGATTTCCTCCTCCTTTCGTATATACATGCATATATATATTTTTTTTCGATCTCTCCTCCCCGCAACGTGTATGTCTCGCCCCACCTTTTCCTGATTTCCTTTTGACGCGTTCGCTTCGTTCCCGGTCCCTGGCGTTCTAGGTTCTGCCATCGTTTCATGCCCCCTCAACACCGCTGCCGCTCCTGTACCTCGAGGCGCCTCCTCCCCCTCTTCCCGTCGCGCGTTTCGTCCTCATGCGTTCGTTCACTCCTTGCGCTGCTCTCTGCCCGGGGTCTCTCTGTCGGTGGCGCGGCTTGCGCTCTCGTATGTCTGTACGCTGCCGCGAATGCTTGCAGAGGAAGAGACTACTTTTTTTTCTTCGCGTGGAGCCTGTATCGCACGCCCGGCGTTTGCGTTCCTTTGTTGCTGGGGCGCTCAGATTTTATTTTTTTCTTCCTCGGCAGTCGTGGCTCCATCCGAGCCGCATCCTTCGCAGTCTTGAACAGCAGCAGCAGCCATCGGCGGGGCCGTCCCGTCGTCCACAATCCTTCCTGTGTGCGACTTCTTTCGTTCCCCTTCCCCACCTCCATACCAAAAACCTCGCGCACTTCGTTCTGCCGGGGGTCGTCTTTATTCGAGCGCGCCGTTGGAGAAGGAAAGGGCTGCTGTCTCCTTCTCTCTATCTTGGCCGACGGCGGCACTGCTCGTTCGACGGACAGCGTAAGGGGGGGGGGGGGAGCAGGCGCTGCTCTGTTCGTTGCGTCGTCGTTCCTTCGTTCGCTCCTTCTTCGGTTGGCTCATTCTCGCGCGTACGCGTAGCGCCGCGTGCACAGACAGACACGAACTCAAGCGGCGACCTCTCCTTCAGCTACGCGGGGAAATCGGCTCTCGCGACTGCTCTGCCGGTAGTTAGCAGCAGCGACTCGCTCGCTGCTCTGACTGGCCTCTCGGCGTGTGTGTGTGTGTGTGCGTGAACGTGCGCGCGCCTCGCGTGTTTGTGGCCCCGCCGCCTGCGTTTTTTCGGCGGGGAGAGGAACGCTGCTGCGTCGTACTACGCCGAGGTGGCTGTCTGTGGGCTGGCCTGGCCCGTGTGCTGCTGCACCCCCCCCCCCCTCCCTCCGGTTGTGTTGCCGGCGCCGCTGATCTCCCCGCGGCGGCTGTTGTGCGCGCCGGCTCGGAGGTCTCACGACGACGACGACCACGCTAGCAGCGCCATTTTGCGTTCTCTCTGTCAAGAACTGACCTTCCGCCCGGCGCTCTTCGCGCCGCCCAGCGTCCCCGAAAGCCCCCTGTTCTCAAGTTATTCAGCTACTGTGTGCCCTGTTTGCTCACTTCCTCTGGCTTGGAACGACTGTAGATAATTTCTCCTTCAGCGGGCTTCCCTAACAATGTGTCGCGGGCGACCCGAGCTCTGGAGCGTCCGTCTCTACGGGGTGTCCCACCGGTTGTCGTCGGGCTAGCATCGACTGTGGCGTGGTGTCCTCCTCTGCTGGGATGTCCGCGTGAGCCGGTTGCAGCCGCCGCGACATCACCGGACCCCTCGAGGATATCGGCGCAACAGCGACGACCCTGGTGTGGATCTTCGTCGGTCGTGGCGACTGCTGGCGCACCGACGACACCCAGCGACTCTGCGCCCATGTTTCTTGCGCCGCTCTGCGCTTTCCAAAGGTGCGCATCGTCGTGTCGTCACTTTCCCGGTGTGTGCGTGTGTGTGTAGGGTATAGTGACAGCTGTGGCCTCTGCTGTGTGTTAGGAAGTGCTATCATCGCGTAGTATTGTTTTTCTGTTGAGTCTGCGCCTGGTGGTTTGTAGTTTACGGCCAGCAGGTTGCCTGCACGCCACGGGCCCCGTCACCAGCAGCAGGATTACGCTGCGCCTGTTGGCACCTGGATATTTTGTTCGCCGGTCGTTCACATGGATATGCCGTCAGCGTCACAGGAAAAGAGGTACCCCACCGCGGTGGCGCCTGCCGACAGCCGCTGTCGTCGGCTGCCAGGCGGCGTGATAGCGGACATTTTGTATAGGATACGGGCACCGGACGCGGCTCCAGCGAGGAGCCACGTTCGGGTTGCACGGTTGATCGCTCGGTCGGCCGCGCTCGTGGCCTGGTGACGTCGGCGGCCGCCCAGGGGGGGGGGGGGGGAATCTTGTGGCACTGGGAATGGGTGATACCACCACAACTGGCGGCCGGCGGCGACATGATGCTTGTTGACTGGCTGCATGTTTTTCTTTTCATTTGTGTTTGTTTACTTAAGAACCGCCCTCCTCTTTACTGCGGTGGCGCTGCGCTCGATAAACCGTCGGAAACGCATCGCATTGCCTCTAGCGATACTCTCTCTCTCTGCGGCGCGTACTCTTTCAATTTGCGCCCGTTGCTGCATCAATTTTGTTGTCCCTTCCGCTAGACGCACCACCACTCGCTTCCCTCTTCTTTTTCGCCGACCATTCTAGCACGAGAGGAGGTCGTGCATTCTAGCGAATGAAACAAGCGGTTGCCGCTCGCGGCGCTGTGGTGGGCCTACTGTTTCTATACATATCTGCCCTCGCCCCCTTCCTCTCCTTCGTCGCGCCTCGGAGGAACTGACCCGTACCTCGAAGACGTTAAGCCTTTTTGACACGAGACACGTCGGTGGCGGTTCCCGCAATTTGGCGGTGTTGCGCCAGTTCACTTCTCGGTATTGTCCTTTACGTCGTTTACAATGCCCCATTACATTACGGTATAACTCGTGGTTCATTCGAGCCGTAACTACTCAACATGTCCAGATTCTTCGGCTGGACACCGACGTAATCGTTGCGCCGTTAAATCGTACACTGGGTATCGTTTTTCCCTTCCTTCGTTTATGGGCATTTACCTTAAACGATCCGTGACGAAGGTGACTCGTGATAACGTCATGATTTTTTTCGCGCGCCTCGCTCCGTGCAAAGATGGCATCGCCCGCGTCAAGGTGAAAAGCGAAGTCGTCTCTTTTGTCACGCTCACTTTGGCGCAACGAAGCCTATTGGTGCTCGGGGAAGGAACGTGTTGCTGGAGAGGGTGCGCTCGAGGGAAAAGGCACTCGTACCTACTCGCGCCCCTCCCTTCTTCGTATCGATGAGATACTCTCCGCTTTAGTTTGCGGCAGCTTTAAAACATGAGAGGGCCTCATCACCTCAACGCCAGCCTTGTGCCACGAGCTGCGGAGGAGAGCGATTGGGCAACCTCTCCGCGCATCGCCGTTAGCAGCGCGCTCTGACGTTTGTCGTCCCGCTTCGGGGGAAGTGACGTAACTCTTATTCTCGCCCTCGCGTCTCTCCGTCCTTGTGGCTCGGGTGCTCGCGACGAGTGGAAGAGACGATTCCATAAACGCGCGGCTTCAAGCAGGTTTCCCTTCTCTGTTCGCAGCCGTCTCTCCTGGATAGATGGATAGTGAAGTATTGTGATTAGTCGAGGCCAGCTGAAACCGCGCCGCGTGCAGGCGCACGGAAGCCGCCGTGGAATTTTTTTTGTCTTTTTTTTTCTGTGGTTTGCTTAGTGGTGCGCAGGAGGCGACTGCCTTTGCGGGAAATTCGTTTTCTCCTTTCATGTTTGGCTCGTTGTTACGAAGCCAGGTGTGAAGGCTGCCATCCTTTCTTTCGCTTATCTTTTATCGTTTATCTTATGTAATTATCTGGAGCAGGAGTAATTATCTTCATTACTAGCTGGGATTTCGAAAACTTGTCCGCAGACACACGCATATACTCGCACTTGCTTTATGGACACCTTGCTATCTTCTATCCGGTTAGGCTTATATCGATCTGTGCGCCTACTCGCTCGAAGTTGCGTGCAGTATTGTGAAAGCTAATCGTGGAGCTTAGCCACTTTGCAGACTGAACCCTTCATTGGTATAACTCCTTCGCTTAGCTGTGAGATTTTCTTTTCAATCTCGTTGGGATGATTCACACTTCACACGTTCGTTTACTTTTTACAAGTGCTGAGGTGTTAGTTGAACATTTCTCCTTTTGGCGGATTTTTTCAAGGGAAGCTGTTTGTTGACTGAAGGAATGGGCGTGACACTGGTTCTCATAAAAACAGTTACGCTGCAAGGATATTTACAGGCGTAATCTAAAGCGGCCATTATGGCGCTTGAAGCTCGCGCTAGTCGTGCCGTAAGTAGCCAATGACAGTCATTTCCGGAGACAGTGGTGGATAAAAGTCCCGCGCACTTTAATGCTGCCACTCCAGGTGCAGCCGCGGCAATTGACACAACGGAAACCTTACGCATTGCTGCCGTAGAAAATTGGCAGCAGTGCTAAGGGTCAAAACAACTTTGTGTATGCCGAAAAGTTGGGCTTCCTTATTTCGGTTGCGCCAGTGCAATGGGTGTCGCATCAAGTCTCGTAGAAAAGTGACTCAGGTTTGACAAGTCTTTGAGAGCAAAGTGTTGAAAAACATTTTCAAGCAAGATTGCCTTTCCCGTCTCATTTTGTAATAAAGTCAGCCAAATATTGCTTTCTCTTGACAAATGACAAAAAACGCTCAAAAACCACTCGTAGAAGACCATCTATCAGCCGTTGGTGCGCTCGGTCGTTACAAGGATCGCCACGGGAGGCCGCGACGTGTCCACGCGTGCTCAATGTCACGAGGCGCACGTGGCGTATTTTCTTTGCCCTTGCCATCTCTCCCTGCTTAAGATTGTTGTGGAGATCGTGTGGCAATAGGGTCTTTCAGTGAATTCATTCCATGCTTACTTCAAAAAGTGTTTCAAAGCCCCTTTTTGTTATCGATGAATACTTAAACTGGCCCATTTAAAAATCCGTGAAGAGTAAGCTGTCGTGTATGTAAATGCATTTGTCTGTGCTTTACATCGCGGCCGCAGTTTAGCAGCGTGCAGTTCCAGATTATTTTGAAGCATACGTTCTCCCTTCAAATTCTACGTGTATTCATATCGCTGTCGCGCAGTCAGACGCACTTGTAACAATTAAAAAAATACTGTAATAATAAGCACAGTAAGTTCCTTTGAGAACGCCATGGTAGCAAGGTGAAACAAGATCGTCCGAGCACACGAAAGAGGGTTGATCCTACAAAGACAACAGAATGCCTTCGTTCCAATAAACACCCCAACCTGTGCAACATTGCTCGAGTTATGTGCACACAACGGTTGCTAAATCAAAGTATATATATGAATGTGCTAATAATCTATGCTCCCAGTGTTGGGTTCTGCGGGTGCAAGATTGCGTGATGGGCTGAAAATTTGATATAGTGAGGGTTACTAAATTATAGAGAAAAGGATGGCATCGTAGAGAGTTGGTTTGATAAGTTGGCTGTGCCACGATTATGCTCTCTCCAACTTTTTTTTTTCTTGAATTCTTGAAGTAGTACAGGTTTGAGAATTTCAACCAGGGGGGGGGGGGGGGGGGGGAGTAGAAGGCGTTCTACTTCAATTTTTACTGCAGGACACAACATCATTACACAGCGAAATTTGCCGAAAACAAGTGCTAATACTAACGGTATGTCTTCGGGGCCATCACACTCACTCATATACGTGGATGGGTAGCAGTCCGGGTATCAGCATATGTAACCTTGGACATCGCATGCAATAACAAAAAAAATTGGGGAAAAGACTTAAGAGGGTTTTTATTAGTATTGTTTCTTCTCCCCTTCCTCCACCCATTCCCTGGAACGCTTGATGAATTCGACCTAGATAAGTCAATTTTTTTGTTTAAGTTAAGCCACAGTGCACTCACCCTCGTGCCCCTCCCCCTCACTTACTATAGCTAAACTAAGGGGGAGGAGGGCATGACCCCATCAACCGAGCACGTGTTTTCCAACTTAGCAACGCCCAAGTATATTTTTCCCCTTCAAGCTATTTTTTTTATTCGAGCTTACTCCCTCTTCTCCTTCCTTTTGTTCCCTATTTCTCGAGTGTCGCTAAATAGGCTTAGTCGATCGAATTTCGTCGCTATACGGTGGCGTCATCACTCTAAGTCTGCCAGTGTTTTTCGTTGTTGCGCACGCCACTGCGACAGCGAGGCTTTCCATGGAGAGAAACCTGCGGTAGCCGAGTGCTATTTTGAGAGGCAGCAGCAGCTGCTGCGTTTTGTTCTCTCTCTTTTTTCTTGCCTATTGAAGTTGCGCTACATGGCGAGGCACCGCTTACTGATCGATACCCGAAAGGCCTTCGCGGTTAAACCCGCGTGCGAAGAAAGGCCGCGACGACTGCAAGCCTGATGACTCTCTCGCTGATTCTGCTCTCGGCCTCGCCTCAATTCTTGGCTTCAGCATAAAGTTTACTTCGCACAGTAAACGCATAATGGGCTTAAAACACTTACCCTCCACCCAGTCACATGCTACACTTTAGAAGTAAAGGAGGAAAAGGGGTATTGAAGTTGCTCCTTTAGAGGAGTTGCCACTCTTGCCACACCCATTGCACTATTTTGGGAGTAACTACGAAAGAGTAACTGTGCTCTCGCAGTTACTGCTCAAAGGAGCAATAGTTAGCAAAAGAAAAACGAGGTTTTCGTGTACTTGACCAGCTTTTCGAAGTGCGTGCTGGTATTTGATTATATGTACAATCGATCTGCAGGTATCACATTCAGCTATAAATTTCAGAAAATTTGCAGCAAACCCACGGTATACAAACTCACACCCACTCAGTCAGAATGTCTGTACACAAACCACTATATCACACCACGCTACGGAACTGTCTTAA